TCTCTCTCTCTCTCTCTCTCTCTCTCAAAAAAAAAACATTAAAAATGAATTTTAGAGAAAGAAATAACATCAGTCAGGCACTCTGTTTAGCATTATTTTCAAATATTTCCAAGTATAACATTCAATCCTGCTTCCCACCCCACCTTCACCCCCACTAAGGTTATATGATTCCTCAGGATCTGGATCCTCACTTTTCAGTGGGGGAACAAGCAAAATGGTTAATCTTTATGACTTCTGTTGCAAATCCACCTCACCTCGCCAAGTCTGCCTTCCTGGAATAATCACATATGGAGTCTTATATTATGAAAGGATGTAATGTATACAAGCAGTCCAAAGAGGAACAATAAACACCACAGTTTTCCTTCACATACATTCTTAATCATAAGGATAGCTGTATTCAAATGCCTGCAAGATGACTGTACTTTTAACAATCGTCAGCCACGACCCCCTTGACAATTCCCTTTTCTGGAAAGAAATTCATGCATTGTGGTCATTTGGCTTAGATTGATTGATTCAATTGTGATTCCAGGGCCGTGGGTTATTTTGCTTGTGTTTGTGATTGGTTGACTTAGATAAGCATTATTTGGAGTTTTCATAGTAAGCTAGAATTTCATGGGCAGCTTCCAGAAGCACAGAAGGAAAAATAACTGCTGTTGGGACCTCTCTATTCACTTATCTCCCTTGCTACCAATTCCAGACTTGGGCATGGCCCAAAATTTGAAGAGAACTGAAAGAAAAAGGGCAGAAAGTTACCAGGAATACCTCAGAGACATCATGGGCTCTGTTCCAGATCACTGCAATAAAGTGAAGGTTGCGATAAAGTGAATCAAATAGAAATATAACTTTTATATGCATTGCTTTCCCAGTGTATTATATTGTAGTCTATTAAGTATGCAATTGCATTATGTCTTTAAAAAGTGCCCATACCTTAATTTGAAAAATACTTTGCTAAAAAATGCTAACCATTATCTGAGCTTTCAGTGAATCATAATCACTGATCATAGATCACCATAACAAATATGATAATGATTAAAAAGTTTGATGTATCGTGAGAATTACCAAAGGATAACTCAGAGACACAAAGTGAGCAAATGCTGCTGGAAAAAAAAAAAAAAAAAAAATGATGCTGTTAGACTTAATCAATGCAGGATTGCCAATGTGTCCTATTCAATTTATTTGTTTATGGTATTTAATGTCTATCATCTATCTCCCACTTCCAAAATTTAAGTTCCTCCCGACCAGTGATCCTTTTTGTCCGCTAATGTAGGTCAACCACCTAGAAATGTGCCTGGGACACAGAACGCTTTCAGTAAATATTCACTGAGTGAGTAAATTTATCTCAAGTGCTTCTTCACGTGTGTCTTTCTCCCCACGAGAAAAATGAGAAAAGGGGTGCGCTTAGACACCGAGGTTGGGGGAGGCCTGTGTCTGTAGAATGAGAGCTAAGACTCTGGACAGATCCCGGACCCAAGGTTTACCGGCGCTCCCAGACTAGCCCGATGGAAATCCCGCCTTCTGGGCGGGACCTGGACCGAGGGCGCCGTTTCTGATTGGTCATACGAGGTGATGGGCATGGGAGACAGCGAAGGAGGAGCCGTTCTCTAGGCTTCCGGGCGCCGAGGTTACAGGACTGTGGGAACCGTTGGGGTGCGGGTCGCCGGTGTAGTCCCTTGCGCCTGACAAGAGGACGTGAAGGGTGAGCCTGGGACAGGGCCCCGTGGCGTGCTCATAGTTTGATTACCCCTAAAATGTTGGTAGGAGGTGATTCTGGTGGCCGAGGGGACCAGGTCCGTGGGAAGAGGAAGGGATGGAGAGGGAGCCAGGTGAGAGATGGGTTTAGGAAGGTAGTTGGATAAGCAGGTAATTGCCCCAACAGGGGCCTCTGTGGGCATTTGTGACCCGTAGCTCTTTGGCCTGGGTGATTTCCTGTCACTTACAATATCCGCGCTTGCACGTATTCGCTTCTGTGCTCTGAAGTTCGAGGATCATTATGTCAGGGAGAGGTCGCAGGGGTTACAGATGGAGACGTGTGGGTATGGCCCTTTCTTCTTCAGGATTTGGGGTCCTGGAATAAGATACCGAGCTCTTTACTTTTCTGCTTTTCTGGTCCCTGACAGGTATGAGCATGAACATGGCAGAAGGGGACACCCTGATATCAGTGGATTATGAGATTTTTGGGAAGGTCCAAGGGGTGTTTTTCCGCAAATACACTCAGGTATGTGGCCTACAAGCTTTGGGGACATAGCTAGGCTATGTGTATGGGAACAAGAGACAGTGTTCCTAACAAATGTGTTTTGGGAGATGCTGGCTGTCTGGTAGCCGCATGGTATTTTGTAGAGCAATGGGTATGAAAATGCTTTGTAGTGAGTGAAATACAATGTAAATGGCAGAATCATCTGCTGTTACTATCGGTCTTTCATGACAATGGTACCAGAGTACCTAAACACTTATTAATGAGCGTCTCTCGGGGCGCCTGGGTGGCGCAGTCGGTTAAGCGGCCGACTTCAGCCAGGTCACGATCTCGCGGTCCGGGAGTTCGAGCCCCGCGTCGGGCTCTGGGCTGATGGCTCAGAGCCTGGAGCCTGTTTCCGATTCTGTGTCTCCCTCTCTCTCTGCCCCTCCCCCGTTCATGCTCTGTCTCTCTCTGTCCCAAAAATAAAATAAATAAACGTTGGAAAAAAAAAATTTTTTTTAATGAGCGTCTCTCTTCCCCAGGGGAATCGAGGGCTTTCCCAGTTCTCCCTGTTGTGGCCTCATCAAACGAGATCACAATTCTTGTAGGAAAGCTAACATTGGTCAGATGGCATTTAGATGAACTATTGATAAATTATGCAATTTATGTAATTGTTTCCTCTGAAGCTGCTGCATTTTCTTCAGACCTCTTTTATTTCTTCCATCTACCCCATTCCCCCACTTGATTCCTTCCTACTCATTATGGCTTTGAAAGAAGAGTTACCTTTTCAAGCTAAAGCTTTTCTAATAAAAATACCTTACGTATCCCAGGGTAAGTAATGGTAACATTGAACATGGAGTCTAGTATTCCTACTAGAGTAATAGAGAGTAATTGTGGACATGAACAAACCATTGACAGCCAGACTCTACCTCTGCCTTAATGTCACTCACCTCCCCTCAACTTGCACACACCGCTGCAATCTCAGTTTGCTTTCTGTCTCTGTAAGAGGATATCAGGCCTTCCCACTGTATTGCCAACCCCAAAGATAATGAGTTAAGACTGAAGAACAAGAAGTGTCACAGTCCTGGTACTGTGGGACAGAAAATTCAATCCTGCATCTTCGAAATATGAATGGTATATGTCATACCTCTTTTTCCAATCACTTGCAAATCAGTTCCCCCTGTTTCATACTCATACATGAAGTGCTTGTTGAAAAAGAGAACTGCTGAAAAGTTAAAGCAAGAGCTATGTTCCAATTAGCTTTGGTACCAAGTATGCAGTGTAAATTCCTGTGTCTTAGTAAATTGAGGTGATAGCGTCAAAGATTAAAGTTGTTGAGGGAAAGGACCCGGCAGTATTATAGCCCATCTTTCTCTACTGTCCCCTCACCCCTTATGTCAGTGCCATGCCGTCTTGATTATTGTAGCTTTGAAGTAAATTTTGAAATTGGGATGTGTGAGTCCTTCAGATTTGTTCTTCCTTTTCAAGATTATTTTTGTCTATTCTGGGTCCTTTATGTTTCCATGTGAATCTTACCATTAATTTGTCAATTTCTACAAGAAGGCAGCTGGGATTTTAATAGAGACTGCTTAAAATCTGTAGATCATGGGGCGCCCTGGGTGGCTCAGTTGATTAAGTGTCTGACTTCGGCTCAGGTCATGATCTCTCAGTTCGTGGGTTCAAGCCCTGCATTGGGCTCTGTGCTGACAACTCAGAACCTGCTTCAGATTCTGTGTTTCCCTCTCTCTGTGCCCCTACCCTGCTTGCACTCTATCTCTCGTTCTCTCAAAAATAAATAAGCATTTAAAAAAATTTCTAAAAATCTGTAGATCAATTTAGGAAGTATTGTCATTTTAACAATATTGTCTTCCATTTTTGAGCATGGGATGTCTTTCCATTTATTTACATCTTCTTTAATTTCTTTCAACAATATTTTACAGTTGTCCATAAGTAAATCTGGTACTTCTTTTGTTAAATTTAGTCCTAAGAAATGTATTACATTCGGGGCGCCTGGGTGGCTCAGTCGGTTAAGCGGCCGACTTCGGCTCAGGTCATGATCTCACAGTCCGTGAGTTCAAGCCCCGCGTCGGGCTCTGTGCTGACAGCTCAGAGCCTGGAGCCTGTTTCGGATTCTGTGTCTCCCTCTCTCTGACCCTTTCCCGTTCATGCTCTGTCTCTCTCTGTCTCAAAAATAAATAAACGTTAAAAAAAAATTTTTTTAATAAAAAAATGTATTATATTAAATGCTATTATAAATGGAACTGTTCCCTTAGTTTCATTTTTCATTGTTCGTTGACAGTGTATAGAAATACAATTGATTTTTGCATATTCATCTTATATCCTGCAATCTTGTGAACTTGTTTACTAGTTCTAATTTGTGTGTGTGAGTTTATCCCCTAAGATTTTTCTGTATATGAGATATGTCATCTGTGAGTAAAGGTAGTTTTACATCTTCCTTTCCACTTTGAATGCCTTTTATTTCTTCTTCCCTGCCCTGGCTAGAACCTCCAGTATAATATTAAGTAGATGTGGCAAGGGCCACTTGTCTTGTTCCTGATCACAGGAGAAAGTGTTCAACCTTCCACTATTAGTTATGATGTTAGCTGTGGGTTTTTCACAGATACCTTTTTATTAGGTTGAGGATGTTCCCTTCTATTCCGAGTTTGAGTGTTCAATTTTGTCAAATGCTTTTCCTTCATCTATGACATGATCATCTGGTTTCATCCGGTTTCTGTTTTATTTGCTAATATGGTATGTTACATTGTTTTATTAATATCATGCTTATAATTAATATGATTTTTTAAGCTATAGTGTATTGATTTTTCTATGTTGAACCAACCTTGCATTGCTAGGATAAACCCCAATTTTTCTTTGGTGTGCCATCCTTTTTATATGTTGCTGTATTTGGTTTGTTCATGTTTTGTTGAGTTTTGCATCCATATTCACAACTAATATTAGCTTAGAGTTTTGGGGTTTGTTTTTTTTTTTTTTTTTTT